TCGAGAGGAGAGAAATCTTGATGGGATAAAATGCGCATGAAACGGAATCATGCGCATGAATGCGCATTAATGCGCACGTTTCCGCAATCATGCGCACGTATGAAACCCATCTCTACTCATTGTCAAAGAAATATTTATCAGGATCGTATTTGCCCTAACTTTTTCAAACTCATCTAGACGGTTTCCAATAATGTTACGCATATGTGGAATAATACCAGGCACATGTTCACAAATTTTACCTCAATGCCGCAATGCATTATATTTCTTCATCCATCTTTCGGCTATTTCAATTGAACAATCGAGATAATCTTGAGTATCATTAACAGACAATAGTGCTGTAGTGTTATTAGGCAGTAATACGCATCTGGGTCTTTATCATATGGACGCCTTATTGATTCGAAATTCTACTGAAAGATTTAACGGGTACTTGTTAACTGCAGCTAATTCATAAACATTACCCGTTTAATAATATATTTTAAGTTCGTCAATGGCATTTGAAAAATCCTTGATTTGCATAGTATAATTGTTAAATTGATGGTTGCGATTTGATGTATGTTATTAGTAAACACATAACTGTATTTATAGATTAGAATTAATGTATTCCGAGCATTAATTTATCATAAGCACAAATTTTCGAGCATATAAAACCAAATCAGTCTGCTAGATGGTTTATTCATTCTAAGAATTTCAAGCTGCTCTATATACACGCATCAAATTTAATTTTTTATATGACCAACACTCAGTGAATGTTCAATCATCATAAAAAATTTGTCAATAAATGCTCGATAATTTATTCCAATCTCTAAACATCTACTTACATGATTGACCTTGAAGCAAAATTCTTGTTCCTTAAAAGAAGGTAGTCGACACCAGACTGTGAAAATTAAAGAAAATTAAAACACTTCAAAAGTATTTTGAATAAATTTTAAAAATCATACCTGAAAATGAATTGCATCAGGCGCTTGTAAAATCTTTTCACTTTCATGATTAACACCAGTATTAAAAAAAAGATTAGTAATGTATGGGGTAGATTCCGGATGTTTTACAATGTTCATAAAGAAGATTCCCAAATTTGAGTCCAATGCCCTGGAAGGCCGACGAAAATTTCACTTCAAGCTGATTCTCTGTAACATTCTTATCGGTTTTTTTGTAAGTTTTTACCCAAGCTTGTCATTTTTTTCTTCAAGGCCAGGTGCCATTTTTGAGGGTTTTCGCATTCCAATTAGAGGTTCAGTCGGTAATGGTCGGTTATCGGTCGGTTATTGCCGGTCATTGACTCATAACCGACCGGCCGCAGTTATTGGACCGGTCATATAACCGGTCAAATGACCGATCCAATAACTGTTCAGTTATTAGCTAGGTTTGCGACAAAACTTTTCTATCCATCTTTTAATCAGATCTCTGCGCATATTTAATCAGGATTAGTTTCAGTATTGATATGCAGTATGATGAACTACTACAGCGTAACCACAAAAATACCCCCGGATATGTGATTTATGTGGCACCATTAATTGCCTTAAGCATAAAAAAAATAATACGTAACGATAATAATTATAACAATTACTATATATATTATGTAGCTGATAGTAATTTTGAATATATCAATCAGCAATATAAGCCACAAAGATGAGTGTCCGGTTTTTTTTGAGGAAGTTCAGTATTATGGTTATTACTGTGGCTGTGTTATTGATAAATTATAAAATGAAACTTAAGATAAAACAGGATACCATGATGCAAATAAAGTTATATGTGATCTTCAAGATTCCTTAGTTGCACTTCTGAATCACGAAAATCGCGGTCATCGGTATGAGTGTCATCATTAAATTTATTAATACGTATTAACTTAGTTAAAATAAATTATTTTATTATTTTTCAAATCGCTTATTATTGCGTAATATAATAACAAACATTGTAATGAATCAATTAACATCGCTAAAATAGTATCAGTCAGGATTTTAACCGGTCGGTCACAAACCTTTGACCGACCGATATCGGTTACGGTTATGACCAGTCATTGACCAGTCATATCCACCCCTAATTCCAATAATCCGAAATGTTTGGAAAACTATCTTTCATTATCAAATTAAACATTGGTTCTACTGTAAAAGTGAGCTTATATATAATTCCCAAGAGACCTTTAACATATATTCAATATTTAAAAATCGGATAAGTACATAATTTTGGTTTTTTTTTTCTTTGTTTTGAAAAAAAAATTACCAAGACTGATTCTAGCAGCACTCATTTCAACAGGGTCTATCTCATCAGAAAACTCATGAAGTTCACCATCAGATGTTACAATTTGAAAAGAGATTACCTTTTCTGAGACATCTGAATTTGTACATTTCGACCATGAGAACCAGTTGATATAATGCCAGAGGTTGTCACAGTGTTCAATACAAGCGAAGAATCATATGTTATTGGAGGATTATGTTTCCTTAACTTATCATCAATATCTTTAAGATATACGCCTATAAATCCAGTCAAGTAAATGGAAATATTAAAAGCTGAAACATGTATTTGAATGTTCCTCTTACCAGCTTCGGTGGTGACCGTCCAAGTTTTCAATTTTTTATTATATTGAATCTCATATCATTTAAATTAGTAACTATTACTAAGTTCCCATTAGTAACGCTAAGGCTACTCCAAGTATGACCAGCAGCAGCACAACGAATTTTCTTATTATTCTCTTTTGCTTTTTTTACAATTGTTTTTAAATCATGTAAATTAACAGGTCGAAAAATTTCATCAGGAGTACATTTTTGATTTTCATCCCAATTATTTCACTAAAATGTTCAATATTGTTTATGACCTTAGTGAAAGCATCTTTTACAAGAGGCATGTTTGATAGCAGTAGCTGTTAAGTAATTCTGTTCTAGAACCTATATATATTATATATTACTGTCCGGAGCGTAGCGGAGGACATTTAGTGTTTAGTCATGGTGATACAAAAGTTACGTTTTTGATTAAATAATTAGATATTTTTATATTAATGCATCAAAAACATAATTTTAAAATTCTTGTCAGTCAGCACGCGTGTCTATATTTGTACTTTAGTGTGACAAAAAACATGCAATCACGCGTTTGTGCGATATGATGATTATCATGTGCTCTGGACTAGTGAGGTAATTAATTATGACACATTGTAGCAAAGTTGCAACTTTTTCGTAGTATTGACGTAGGTCATAACTACGGTAGTATTAAAATGATATAGCGTAGATAGTAACTTCGGTAGGATATAGTATCTTATTCAGTATCCCGCAATTTTTTATAATCGATCTGTGAATAAGCTTTAGTGATACAAATCAAAAATCGAATTAGTCAATTAATTATAAAGTTGAAACTAATAGATTTGAATTTACAAACTCAACTTATTCTTTATTTATTATTTTATTCAACTAATCGATTAGTATTGACCAATTTATCAATTAGTTAGTGATTAATTAATTGAACGATTTTTATTGATTGTATCAATAATTAAAATTCAAAATAATGTTAATTTGATGATTTAAGGAATAATAAACTATAAACAATTATTATTATTTTTTTTTATAGTTAAGATGAGGTTTGCTCATATCTTTATTGATTGTTAAAGAAGCCTCCAGGGGCTTCTCTGAATATAAATTACAAACTTATTCTAATTACAAATGTGTTACAAGAATGGGGCCCAGACTATAGACAGAATCTATCTAATTTATCTGCAATCTAAACTTAATAGAGTGGTTAAAACTCACTTAAATTTGATAATATAAAATATTGTTTGTAGGGTAGCTATATAGTGTTCAGTGTTTAGACCATAGGTCAATTTTATGAAATGCTTTTTCTAGTAATTGGCAGTTGTTATTTTCTGTGTAATGTTAATTGAATAAACCACACAGTTGGCAAACTGTGTAGTGCAAGTTATGGTATTGAATAGAGTAATTATAAGATCTTGAGTAAGTTATAAATTTATTTGAATTTGATAAAATATTATTGTTTTTTTTCTATTGTACTAGTTTGGTAGCATATGATTTCTAGATATGATTATATATTTTTTGTGATATCTTGATAAGCAGCTTGATAGTTATTAATGTTGCTTTTTTTAGTAATGTAGTATAGGACTTGATTGTTGTAATTAGGTTTATTGGTACATATCCTTGTAATGTTGTATATATGTTAGTTTGTTCTTAATAAGTATTGTTAAGTGATAAGCTATTGTACTAAGTTAGTAGATTGTATAGTTATTGTAATTGTAGTTGTGTAACATCTAATGTGAGTTATTAATAGTTTTAGAGATTGTTTCTGTAATGATGCAAATAAGATTTGTTGAGTTAGGGCATAATAGCCAATGTAGTTGATATTTTGATATTTGGCAAATAATGCAATTATTATATTGAAAGCAGTTTGAGTATAATTCATGAAGATAGTATAATATTAGTAAAATGTTAAAAAGTAGCTAATTTTAAAAAATTCACTTTGGTTGAGTTGTAAATTAGTATAGTTATTTGTTCTTTTAGTATTAACTAGGTTGCATTTCAGTTAATTTGTAATAACAATAGAATAATATTGCTCATATAATATTGTAATGACTATATAGCAACTATGTATGCATTACAGATGTTTTTAATAACTTGTCTGATAGTTTGTTCAATTGTAAATTTTCTATATTGTAGGGTATATAAAGTATTGTATATATTGTTATATATTAGTTTAAGATATGCTATAAAGTTGTAATTAGTTGCTAGTTTATCAGCTTCATTATTAAATATCTTGTTGCTATATGCAAAAACATTGTAAAAAGTAATTATATATTTGTAAGATTGGGTTAAATTGAGTACTGAATGCCAGATAGTTCAGTATAAGTAAAAGTATTATTTGTATACTAGAATTAGATTATTTGTAATTTTATTATATTTAGCAATAATTAATTGGAAGCCTATATAAATCTGTATATTGCTATTATATGAGCATATGCTAATAGCAGTTAATATTGCTATAAGTTCTGCTTTGTAGAATGATGGCCAGAGTTTGATATGAAAAGAATATAACTAAAGTATTATATTGTTATAAATTGTATCCATCCAATATTTATAAAGCATTTATTAGTAGTAAGATTAGTTACTGATTCATTAGTATAAAATACAAAGTTGATGTATTTTTATTGAAGTTTGCAATTTCTTGCAGTTTGATAGAAGAAGAGTTAGCTTGAAATAAGTTAAATATATATGTATTTGTAAGTTTAATAGTTGGAAGTAAGGAATTGTTAAGGATAATCATAAGGCAATAAAGTAGATAAAATCTAAATAGTTTGCAAATAAATTGAGCTTATTTGTATTGTTGTATCTTTTTTAACCAAGAAATTTTCTTTTAAAATTAGTTGAAATGTTAAAAGTATAGTAATTTTGAATTCTGTTTAAGTTGTATATGCATTCTGTGCATCTTGTACAATTAATTGTTGAAAGTAAATAAAAGTTAGTATGAGAAAGATAATGTTTAGTTAGTCAATATATAATTAAAGCAGTATTTTTATTGGCCTTGTATTTGCATACTTTTTCTTATAATTATTTCTTAATAATTGTAGTCAAAAATGATTAACTATAATTTAGATTTGGAGCTATAGTGGCCTGTTGTAAATAATAGAGAATTGGAATAGAAAGGTTTAGAGTTGGGTCTATTGTTCTAGCATAACTATTTGTTTAGTCTAGAAGTATTGAATTATTAAAAGATGTAAGTTGTTTAAGAAAGAAAATGTGTTTATTTTGTAGTTGTTTTTTAAAATTGTTGTATTTAGGATACATATGAAAAAGAGTTTCAATTGGAGTATATAGATATGATAAAGTATATAATTGTGTTAAATAAGCAAAGATTGTAAACTGCATATATCTTAAGAGTTAAATAATTTTAAAGATTGTAATATTTTTGTTTGCTTAATCTATAAGTAGATGAGATGTTGAAGAATGTTGATAGTTGATCAAAAATTGGTTTAAAGTTGTTGTAATCTTATTTAAGTATTGATTCTAAGTAGGTTAGTATTATTATGGAAAAAAAAGTTACTAATATAATATTGCAATTGTATGATTTATATATTTTTGATTTTATATAGATTATAATTAAGCATTATACTGTTAGAAGTAGTAACAGAGAGTTTGGATTTGTGTTTAGATATAGTAAGATATCTTGACAAAATCTTATTGCATGTATTGTGAGATAAAACTATGTTATATATACAATATTCAAGAATAGGTATAATTATATTGTTAATAATATAACTAGTTTGTTTGTAATTTGTTTAGTTTGTATAATGTTTATAAGTTTAAGTATTTCTTATACAATTATTGAAGATGTATAGATTGTTTGTTAGAAGCTGTGTATCAGCATTCTAAAAAATTTAAAAGTGTGTTAAAGGTTTGTAATTATATTATAGTATTCATAAAATTAAAAGTAGATATAAGTTTTGTATTAGATATTAGAGTAAATTTGTTTGGGTTTACTTAAATGTTTGCCATTTTATAGAATGTTGAAGCAGTATTTATAATATTTTGAAGTTGTTGTTAGGAGTCTGCAATTTATAATATATTATTTATATAGGTAAGTATAGAGGTTATCCTTGTTGTAGCAGTAATGTATTCTTTAAACTTTGTATGAATATAATAAATAAGTAGGTTATAATATATTCTTTATAGAATAGGAAGTAATAGTTTTTTCTTAATCTATTCTATTTTTTACAGTATATATAGATGTTAAGCCAAAATTGATAATAACTTGATTGATGCATAAGAATAATAAATTGATAATTGTAAGAACAATAGATAGTAGAAGTTTGATTCTATGTAGAGCTTTTTCAAGAAGAGCAATGTTGACAGAGTCATAAGCCTTGCTCATGTCTTTAATAAAAGTCAAAGTAGTTTTTTGTTATATGAGGCATCTTCAATAAAGTTATTAAATATATATATTGGAGTGTTAGTACTGTTGCCAGGCAGTGCAACATAATTATAAGAATTAAGTATTAGGTGTTTGAATAAAATAGATGAAAGTTTGTTGATTAGGATTTTTGTATATAGTTTTTTGATATGTTTTATTAGACTCATAGAATATAAATTATTAATATTGTTATTGAATTTTAACTTTTTTAAAATTAGATATATTCTACTATTTTTTTATTGTTTGGAGATATTGTTTGTATTAAGGCATTTGTTAAATAAATAAGTAATTGTTTGTAGTATGTAAGGTCTACAATATTTTAGAATTTTGTAGCTTATTTCTAGTAGTTCACATGCTTTGTTATGAGGTAATTGTTTAACAGTGTTTAGGATTTCTTTTGTATTAATTAGTTGTAAAAGTGAGACATACTAATTTATATTAATACAAGCTTTAAGTTAATATTTATCAGCCTAGTGCTGATTAAATATTTCTATTTAGTAAGGTTAATGCTTTGTTTATTAATAGAAGAGTTGTTGCACATGTAAAAATATAGTTAAAGGGTCAGTAATAACTTTATTTTTTGTTTTGATATTGTAAAAA